CAATGTCCGCCGTCGGTGTATTAGCTTCCATGATTGACGACACGGGCGGATACTCGCGTGAGCTGCTCGCTGCGATCGGCTACAGAATTCCGCGCGCGCGGGAGTTATCTATTAAGATTGATCCGCGTAAGATCACGGTATTATCATTTAGCTCTCGATGGGCGCGTGCGCGTGGAAGCCGAGGATTTATGCGTGCCGTGGTCTCTTGGTCTCCGGGATATATACGCCGGCCGACGTATCGTAGTAACAAGTCATATATCTCGCCCTGCAGCCGGGCTTCTCTCCAATATGAAGCGCGCCGCGCGGGATTATAACGAATATTTTATGGTAACAGATACGTCCGTTAGTATTGCAGCCAAGTAAATTATGACTGCTGGAAGAGAGCGAGCGAGAGAGAGAGAGAGAATAGGAAGGATGAAGGAGGAGAGGGGGAGGGAGCCTCGCTGGGGCTCGTGTAAACGCACGGTTTACATCCTCGAAACTGTTTGCAACTTGGCAGCACTGTCACGATGAAAAATATATCCCGAACTTTCCTCTGACGTAAGCGACGTCGGGGAGGGATCGGCTCTCGCGGAGTACCTTGTCGGACTACTTCCCGAAGAAAACTTGTTAAGCTCTCACTCGACAACGAGACCGGGCCGCGTAGCGCGAGCGCGCGGGAAATTATACTTTAATTACTTCGATTCACGCGCGCGGGGAAAAAGAAAACTTGAGAGGCTGGCGCGCGCGCGAGCAAGAGAGAGAGAGAGAGAGAGAAATAGAGAGAGAAAATACCCGAAACTTTGCGTGTACGTAATGACTAAGCCATCGGCGGCGAATATAATTTCCGCACCTTCGGAGAGATGCGAGCGCCCGCCGTTCGTCCATCGTGGTCACGCGATTCACACAATTTCGGTTACTATGTCTCGGAAGCGCCGTAGCAGTTATCGCGATGCATCTCGTACAATCGCAGCGGGACGACGTACGCCGCCCGCTCGTTCTCCCGCTCGTTCTCCCGCGCTCTCTCTCTCTCTCTCTCTCTCCCTCCCTCTCTCTCTCTCTCTCTCTCTCCCTCCCTCCCTCCCTCTCTCTCTCTCTCTCTCTCGCCGCGAGACAGATTGAATGCGCGCGGAGATGGAACGCGAACGTCTCGCCGGCTCGTCGGAGGATATTCGTCTTCTCTAATTAACTGTGAATTTACTTGCCTGGCCGACGGGCATCGCGGGATTGCGGGTTATCGAAGAAAACTGGAGAGTCGAGAGCTAATTATATTACGGAAACGCGTACACCTGCAGCAGTTTGCAATCATACATATGCATGTACGTATGTACGTTACATCGAGAAGCACGCGTATACTCTACGTCGTATCACTCCCTGGCGCTGCTATCTGATTTAAATTGGATCGTCTCTAAGAGCGAAGGTACCTGCCAATTTGCTGAGTCCACAAACTATTTCGTCCTTGTGCGCGAGTTACTCCCGAGGCTTTCTGCATACGAGCTCCCGGATACCCCGTTTAGTTCCCACAACGGCAGAAGAGATCTATTTACTAAAATTCCCGAGTATCTTCGTTTGCGCGCCGTTCGTTTGCCAAATGAACGATCAAAGCCCGCGTCTCGCTTTCGTCTCGCTTGCGTGCGCTTGCGTGTGCCTTCTAAAACGCGCAGGGGGAAGGCTTTGACTTCGTTTCCCCGAGGAGATTCCAAAACTGACGAAAAATTCGCGCGCAACACGAGCGTCGATGGCGAAGAGAAGCGCGAGTGAAAATATAATTCTCGCGGACAACGGTGATTCGAATTTTCGACGCTTCCAGCTCGAATTTACGCGAGACACGCGACAACGCGTACAATCGAGCGTATGCGAAATATCCACCGGCGGGTGTCGATGATAATTTTATGCGTCTCTTGTTATTTTTGATTATCAACAGCAATTAATAACATTCTCGCGATTCTCTGGTGATAACGCCCGCCGCGCCCGTACGTATGCATACATTTTTAGATATAATGGACGATGTGTTACCTGCGTGGCAAAAATATTTTATTACTCCGCGACACGAAAATACGCCGACGGCTAAGTTAGATTAATGCGCTTTGATACGCTTCCAGCGTTTCTGCATCAGCGAAAATTATTTTACGCAAACATTCTCGTTGCGCGTTCAATGGAAAAAAAAAAAAAAAAAAAAAAAAAAAAAAAAAGAGCGAAAAGGAAAAAATTTTTGTAATTATCTAGAGTGTATCGAGATGGTAATGTCGTCGGTGTACGAATGTCTGCGTGCTCATTATCGCTTTCGGTATTATCACAGTCATTTCGTTAATTATATTGATATTATCGCGAGATATAACGTCGTTTCCTCGGTTTGCCGTCGAGGGTCACTCGTAGTGCGTGTTTCTACGAGGGCAGTCTGAAAAGTTCTCGGCCTGACACATAGATGACACATAGAAACTGTCAAAACTATAATTGTACTGGAAAGTGGCATCCCTGATATAAACCCATGTAAAATTTTATTTCGATCTCTCAAGTCATTCGAGTAGTAGCACCAGTTTCGTTGTCTTTTTTAAAATGGGAAAAAATTGAATATCGTGCAGTGATTAAATTCTTCGTTTTCGCACGGATGGTTTAACACCAACAGAAATTCATCCGAAATTGTTAAAAGTGTATAAGGATGCATCGCCTTCACTTTCCGCTGTGAAAAAATGGGCCGCTCTTTTTAAATCTGGTCGTACAAGCCTCGAAGATGATCCACGCGAAGGATGTCGGCAAAAACTGCTACAACACCACAAAACATTCAACAAGTCCATGATATGGTGTTGGATGATCGGCGAGTGAAAATGCGTGAAATAGTTGAGGCCACAGGCATCTCGAAAGAACGAATTGGAAATATCTTGCATGAAGAATTACATATGAAAAAGCTTTGTGCAAGATGGCTGCCGCATTTGCTAACAATTGATCAAAAACGCATTCGAATGCGTATTTCTCAAGCGTGTTTGGATCGTTTTAAACAAAACGGAAAATGGATTTCAAGCGTCGTTTCATAACTGTTGATGAAACTCGGATCCACCGCTATACACCAGAGCGAAAAGAACGGTCGAAACAATGGATCGAAGCCGGTGGACGTGCACCAAAGAAGGCAAAGACGGTTCCATCAGCAGGAAAGGTTGCGGCAACGGTTTTTTGACGGGATTACAAAGGTGTTTTGTTGATCGATTATCTTCAGAAAGATAAAACGACTAACTCTGAATATTATTGTAACCTTTCTGGATCTATTGGATGCAAAAATTCGTGAGAAAAGACCTGCTTTAAAGAAGAAAAGAATCGTTTTCCATCAAGACAACGCACGTGTTCACACAAGTGTTTTGACAATGGCAAAATTCAACGAATTAAAGTACGAATTGCTTGAACATCCAGCGTATTCACCAGATTTGGCTCCCTCTGACTATTATCTGTTTCCAAACCTGAAAAAATTCCTGGCTGGAAAGCATTTTACATACAAATGACGAAGCTATCGCATTCCGTGGATGGATATTTTGCAGACCTTTCGGAATCACACTTTAATAATGGTATTGAATTATTGGAAAAACGTTGGAATAAATGTACTGAAGTTTTAGAAGATTATATTGAAAAATAAAATATATTTCACGGCAAAAAAAATTTTCTTTCATCTCTTTCAGGCCGAGGACTTTTCAGACTGCCTACCTACGTACCTCAAGAAAACCTCGAAAAAAGAATGCAGATCCTGGCATCTCGAAATTCTTATTCCATCCGTTAATCTGCCGTCAAATGCCGTCAAATTTGAGGGAAGTAATTTTGAGATATGACACTCTCCGCATGTATCGATAAATTTTTATCCTTCGCTTCTTAATTAGCAATGTATAAATTACGCAAATCACTCGGCGCTGATATTGTCGGCAAAAGAAGGCGAGGAGGGGGGGACACTTCAAGAAGATGCAAAATAAAATACAAAATCCTCCACCGTGACTGATCAGGTCAGGCGCGTCCGTTTACTCTGGTCCGCATCGCGCTCGTTCACTTTTCCGCGTGGCCGCCTCGTCGAAAAAACAAGATATCAAGGCAAATCGTCCATGACGCACGAGATTCCTCGCGGAAGATGCCCTACCATTAGCAGCGACGTTGCACGCGACCGCGCAATTTCAGAGTTACGAACTGGCCGGCGCGATGGTCAGCTAACTCGCGGGGCCCTAATTGGTCCGCTTTGCCTCTCTTGATTACACGCAAAGTAATTAAAAGTGTCACCGGTCTACCTCACTTTTCGCCAAACGACTCACCTCTCTCTCTCTCTCTCGGCGTCTCGCGCGCGGCTCGATACTAATCGCCCCTCCCCCTTTCTCTTCGTCTCTTTCTCTCCCGCGGCATGAAGCTCGTTCGCTCGCACGGCGGCGCCGTGCGTATTCCGTTGAATAACATCCGCGTTGCGTTTGCGCGCTATTACCGCAATGCCGTTACCGCGACGCGTACTTATCACCCCGAGTTCTCTATTGATGTAATTCCGCTACTGGTAGTTACTACACGTGTAACCTCGTGCGCGGCGCTCGCAGCTCCGCTTTCGCGATCATCCGCGAACGAGTCGACTTAGGAAACTTAGGAGTCAACAATCCGAAGAAGCACGATACACAACCGCCGTGTTTTATCAAACACCACGGAGTTACCGAGCAAAAAGACCCCGGCCGAAGTTGCGGCCGCGGCAGATGTCGCGTGTAAGAACTTGGCGCCAATTAGACATCACGCTGTTCGCGGCGCTTCCGGACACGGAAGACGAAGCGACTCGCCGTGTCGACCATAAGACCATAAGTAAAGTTCGCATTCTTCTAGCGTGTAGCGTCTGTTCAAAGTCAAACTGAGACTCTCGCGAGAATCCTTCCCCTTGTCGGAAGGTGAAGAAAGAACCTTCACCTCGTATCACGAGCACGAATCGATAAGCGAAGCATCGTCGATGATGACGACGAATCTTTCTTCACCACCGCTTAAAAACGAATAAGCAATGAATAAACAAGCAATGTTTTACTCACCTGGAGAACGGGCTGCTGATGATGTAGTGGGTGTAGTAGAATATACTGGCGATGGAGATGAGCAGTAGCGCTACGACGCACCGCTTCACCGTCGCCTGCTTGACGATGTAGCGCGGACCGACGGCGCCCAGTAGAGGAACGCCACCTTCACTCGCGGATATCTTCATCACTATCGTGTCATTCGACTATTCGTGTCGTCTCGGCGGATGCGACAACGCCTTGTGGATTATCGCGGAGGTCCTCGAGCGTGCTCAGCCGGCGGCGCGCGAGCCTATTCAACGGATCCGCGATCCGGATGCGAGAGATCCGGCTGCAGCACCAAGAATCGTCGTCGTCGTCGTCGTCGTCGACGTCGTCGTCGTCGTCGTCGTCGTCGTCGACCCTCGGCAAGTGTCCCCTTCGTTCGTTCAGCATCGAACGCTGCCGTCGGTAGCACGGGCTCGCAAACGAACATTCGCCCCGGCTATCCGCGCGCAGCATCGAGTCGCGCTGTGTTCTTTCTTCGCACACGTCGACGACGGCGCCGCGGCGCTGTTCTTCTTCATGTTGGCCGCGAGTCCTGGAGCTTCATCCGAGTCGCCGTGTGAATGAATTGAGATCCGCGCGTAATTTCCGCGCGAGAAGGCGCGACGACGTCGTTGGAGGAATCAAGGCTAAGATCCTAGCTCGAGGCCGTGTGCCTGCTGATCATTCTTGGGGCCGATCTTCGGGGATCGGTCAACAAAGCGGTCTCTGATAAGACTAACGATCAGCATCATCGGATCTCGGGACCGTAGCCGAGACTCGTTTCGCCCCCGGTGAGGTAAATCTACTTTAGCAAGCCCGAGAGGCCGCGAGGATCTAGCCCTAACGAAGAAATTTCGAGACGGTCGTGTTCGGGACGAGAAACGGATTCAAAGTTCATCAGACACTTAATCCCGCCGGCATCGCGCGCGCGCGCGCGCGCGCGCGAGGTAACACGGTCGATCCTCGCCCACCACCTCCTTCTCCTCGAGCAGCTGCGGTGGCTTCGAGCACTTCGATCCAGCCGGAGTCGCGAGCCTGATCGGTCCCGGATCAAGTCCCCTCGTCGTCCGTCGTCTGTCGAGTAACATCGATGACGTCTCAGCGTCGACAATCTGGGCACCACTTGTTGCACTTTCGAGAGCGCGGTGCGATCGCCATTTCACAAGCAGCACGAGATCGCGCGCCGTCAATCGCGGCCGCGGCTCTTAACCCATCTGGGCTGGATTGTGTCGTGGTGGAGTCAAACCTCTCGGGAACCCCGGCGACACCGAGTAGCGCGGCGGCACCCCGACGTCATCCTCGTCGGCTCGAGTCGCGAGTGGCACACGGCTAGGACAGGCACGCGCGACAGGCGTTTTCTTTCTCTCTCCTCTTTCTTCCCTCCTTCTCTCTCTTTCTCTCTCTTTCTCTCTCTCTCTCTCTCTCTCTCTCTCGTTCTCTCGCTCCACGTCTCACGACCACGCAAACGATGTGACGAGCAGCACGCCGTCTCGTCGCGGACGATTCAGGTTCATGTTGTCCTCGGGCGACGTTTCTGCAAAACGTGCGCGAGTCCGTCGTTGGTCCGCGGGGGTGTTTGTGCGCGCGCAAATCCGAAACAAAACAATTCAGCCCGCTAGCCGCGTTGCAGCGACAGACGGAGGACGAAGAGGTAGCTTGAAGACCTTCACATCCGCGTGCTCGAATTCTTGCGGATCCTCGTTGGGGATGGCTGCTCTCGCTTGGATAGCTGCCGCCTGCTTCCGGTGTCGTTGCACGGCGAGCCGGTTCACGGCTGGACCATTTGTTACGCCGGCACGACCGCCCCTAGACGCCACCTTGGACCCCGCACGACGTGCAAGCAAACCGGCTCACTCGTAAATTTCGAACGCTGCTCCGCGTCTTTGCCCGTCCGCCGCCCCTCTTCTTCTCATACCAGCTTCCAGTTTCCCGTTGCCGGGAAACTTTCTCTCTCTCTCTCTCTCTCTCGCTCTCTCTCTCTCCCGCTCTCTCTCTCTTTCTTTCTTTCCTTCCTTCCTTCCTTCTTTATTTCGCGCAACGTCGCCTGGTCTCTTCCTCTTCCTCTCTTCTATCTGTCAATTAGGAACGATGTACAAGCGCGGCGCTTCCTACGCGAAACAATCTTCCGAGTTTATCTCCGCGCGTCGACAAGACCCTTTTCGCGCGGCGTCGGGGAACAGGATGCATTCCGTGACACACCTTCTGTAACAATCCACAAGGAGACGGGAGAATTAGAAAAATCAAGGAAAAACCCGCGCGTGCACACACACACACACACACACACACACACACACACACGGATCGTATCGTTCCGGCGAAGAGACGTCGCGCGAAAATGTACAAACTTTAGCGCCTATTAATATTGTACGTCTGAAAAATAATATCCATCACGCCGTGAAAATTGATGGCTGGAAAATACGAGGGAGCGCGCGTTCGCGTCAGAGGTGTTTCTCTTTTTTTTGCCGCAATTAATCTAAAATTATCAATCGATATTGATAATGTATCAACGGCGCAAAACAGAGGTGACACGCGGCGGCCGCTCGCGAGTCACCTCGGCACGATTAAACAACAGCGACCAGAGACGATTACGGCGCGCAACAACTCCAATTAATCGAGCGTGCAACGGCCATAGCGCGAGCGCGCGAGATGCAGCTTTCTCCGTGTCTCTGACCTCCTCCGAGCTAATTTTTTCCCTCACCGGTTATATATCCGCCCTCGGCAAGAAGTCCATTAATCAGCCCCCTCCCCCCCGCCGCCGCCGATCTACCGCCTCTCCTGTCCTCCCTCGTCGTGGTGCGAGCGAACGAGCGCTCGCGCGAGCCCGCGGCGATACAAAGTTTCGTTTTATCTGTTGTATTCCGCGCGGGTCCATTCGCCATCTCACGGAGCGACCGACCCTGCGATTCCGGCAAAACGAAAAGTGCGACAAAAGACGCCGGGGATAAATTGAAAATGAGACTGCGGAGCGACAAGAAACACGTCGGGAAAACGTGGAAATGGATAAAATCGATGTCAAGGAGGCCCTCCGGAAGAATACTATCCTTTCTCACTCTCTCTCTCTCTCTCTCTCTCTCTCTGTGCGCAACCCTCCCAATCTACCTTTCTTTAGCTTCTCTGCTCACTGCTTTGCTCCCCTTTCTCTCTCTCTCTCTCTCTCTCTCTCTCTCTCTCTCTCTCTCTCTCTCTCGTCTCCCGAGAGCTGACCCGACATTTTTCCTAGGGAAAATATTGATACCGTCCACGGAGCGTCGGGGCTGATTTCGGGGAATCGGCGGAGAGTGGATGCGCACGGGCAGATATATAGGTAGCTGCGGAAGAAGACTCGTTCGTCCGCGAAGGGTGGAGATCCGAGCGCGGCGGCGGCGGCGGCGGCGGCGGCGGCGGCGACGACATCGGCGTACGGAATTTAATTACACGGCCGGAATGACTGACACGCTAATGGGTGGACGGGGGAGCGCGCTCGGCCGACGAACTTTGGCAATACCTTCTCCACCTCGCTTTTCTATTCCCCCGTCCTCGATCGAAAATCCTCCGCCGTTCTTTGACTTCGCTGACGTGTAATGATGGGATAGTTCGTCCGGAATGAAACGAGTTCGCCGGAAACGAATGCTCTCTCGACGTGAACAACAGCAGTGCGCATTGGAAATTGCCGTGTTACGTGTTTACGCGGCGCCCGGCAAAATAGCGCCAACTATTCGTCGTTCTGCCTACGTCACACGCGGCTTGGTGTTGCCTGCTGCTATGCTAATAGTTTTCAGCATGCTTGGTGGTGCGAATGGCATGAGATAAGAGAGCGATATGAGCGTTCATCACGTGCTCATATGACGCTCGTGCCACGTGATTATCCGTTACTCTGATCGTTCCATCGTTCCATCGCGAACGAATAGTTTAAATGTTAGACGAGAGGATGATACCACTTTGAGTTTTCTCTCTCTCTCTCTCTCTCTCTCTCTCTCTCTGCCCCCTCCCCCTCTTTCTCTCTGGGCGACTGACGTTGCGAAATACGCGTCCGGCTGGCTTTATCCGAGCTGCTGCTACTCCGCCGCCGCCGCTGCTTCTTCGAGCAGTCCGAGAGTTATTTATCGCGCGCCGGGCGAAAGCGGTAAATAAAATTTATCGCGCCGGCAGCCCGCCTTTTATTTAGATATACGCAAACGTCCGTACTAAAGCATCCACCTTAATTCCGCACGGCGCACTCAAGCCCTCCGTAATATTTTCTCTCGCGTACACGCACCCAAAGTTTTTTTTCCACGGGCCCCACTCCGCCCGCGCCGCGCGAGCGCGGAAAAGTCGATTCGTTTATCGTACGGAAATAATTCCTTCGGGGCCTGCTAGATCCACCCGCTGCCGGGTGCTTAATTCGAGAGACACGTTTTGGCTCCCCGAGAGGGTCGTTAGTCGGGTGCATCACGTGCGCGCGGATTTAAAGGCAGGAACTCACGTAGATGCCGCGCGCGCGCGCGCGCGCGCGCGCGGACCGAGATTGCACGGCGGAGAAACTATTCGATTGGCACGAAATGATTATACGACAGAGGTTCGCCTGATTAGTCGCCCTCCAACGAAACCATCTTTATTCCGCGTGACCCGCTGCGCCCCAAGATTCTTCATACGCGCGCGCAATTCGGGGCTTCTCCTTCGGGGGTTCGTGTTATCAAATTTCGCCCGGGTCACCGAAAATATCCCGACGTTCATTTTGCGAGATATCTTTCTTCTTCTTCTCGAGCCGGGATCTTGGTCAAATAAGTTGCCGGCGATGACGCGCGCGAGACGAAAAAGAGAGAGAGAGAGAGAGAGAGAGAGAGAGAGAGAGAGAGAGAGAGAGAGAGAGAGAGAGAGAGAGAGAGAGAGAGAGAGACAATCGTCTCGAAGGACGCGACTAATTCCGAGCGACAGCCCGCGTTTCTAGCCCTCTTGTCGAAGACGAATTAAGGAAACGGATAGGCTAGATGGCATATATCGCGGATAACGGTGGTATATGGTGGGATTTTGTCCTCTCTTTTCTTTTTTATTGACGTCCCGCGGCACACGCGACAAGGACAAGTAGCGCTGATCCCCTCCGAACGTCATGCCGCTTTTTCACAAAGTGATAGGTGCGCTTCCTTTTATTTCGTCGCGAAACACACAGAGGGCTGTCGTCCCTCTGGGGAGGGACGTCTCGTACAGATGCAGGAATTTCTCGCGCGAGACATATTTTTCGAAGATAGGGCGCGCTCACACCTAAAAATATGTCAAGCTATTTGTGACTCGAGATAAGGCGTGACCGCGCGCGTCTCTTTCCCGATAAAAGTTTCCTCGCCTCCATGTGAAACGCAACACGAGAGAAGGACTGTAAGTGTAAAATTGCCTCATTTATATTCGACGACGGGAAACAGCGCGACAAACGATGGACTTTATTCCCCCCACCCCACCCCGACACTGAGACAGCTTCGTCGCATTGTACCCATTATAAGACATAATTGAGAACAGGTGTTCCTCAATCGACGAGGTATCGTTTCATAATCGCCGGGAAACTCGACGCGGTATCTCGTGTCAAATTAACCAACGAGCCGCGCCAAGACGAACGTCTTCCGTTACTCGACGGTGACGACGAGGACGACGACGACGACGACGACGACGGAGAGCAGTCTCCCGTGCGGGAAATTCAAGCGAAAGAGTATTTCATTGCGCAGTCGAGCTTCAAAGAGCTAATGGCGGAATAAACAGTACACATCGGCGGTGCTCGTCGCGCGGGACGATGGGAAATGATGACGCGGCTTTGCTTCCGAACGACAGCTGAAATTTCTACCGCTCGCAATATGTCACGTCGCTTTGTGATCCTTGGATTATAATCTATCGCGCGCACACACACACACACACACACACACACACACACAGCGGTATTACTTTCTTTTTTTTCGCCGACCCTGCACCGACAGCGCGGCGGCGAGCACGAAAAAACAACGAGCGGAAATAACGCCTATAGCGCGTCCCGGCCGGCCGCGGCCGGCGGTCTCTCGCTTTCCGGCGCAATTCGTTGCACGTACATGCACCACGTGCTCCCGTGTGTACACACGTAAACGACCGCGCCGTGTACGTACATACGGGCGCGCGTGTGTGCGTTTGGCCAGGACAGGAGCGTGAAATTAAATCCGAGAAACGCGAACACGCACACGCGCACGGGACGTTCGTGCACGCCCTCTGTTGCTCTCTGCGGCCGCCGCTCTGTGCGTGCACCACACATGATATCGCGATATAATATTACGCGGCTGGCCGGCCGGCCGACATCTCCCCTCCCCCTCCCCCCTCCCTTCATCCTCTCTCTTTCTCTCTCGCTCTTTTTCTCTCCCACGGTTCTCTCGACCGGAGACAGACTGTCTCGGCTCGCGTCCGGTCGCGAGCGGAACTTTTGGAAAATGCGAGCCGCGCGTTATTTGCGAGTTGAAAGCGCCGCGCGAAAGTCGAGCCGGCGCGGCGACTTGCCGACGAGGGCGAAATGCATGTTTCGCGCGCGTGCATTAGTAGCGGCGGTGCGCGTATTACAAGGGATTCAGATAGACGCGCGAGATATGCAAACGAGCGGATTGACGGGAACGTGGCTCGCAATTGCGGCCTTACCTCTCTCGCCCGGCGCGTTCCGGGGCGCATCGGCGTGCGCGCAAACACGTAGGGGTGTTTTGCGAAGACACTGGAAATGGCACGCGGGAGAGCGTGTCTTTGCGCGCTCCACGGAGCGGAGGAAATCAAATATCCTGCCTGATAATTACAAGCCACGCGCGCTGGAAGAAACGCTGGAGAGCGCGCGTCGCGCAGACAGCTCGTGGAAATTGGCTGCGGCGGATTTGCATATTGCATCGGCGCGCGCGACGCGATTATGCGACAGACGCTGTTTGAGCGCCGCGTCAAATGCGCCGCCGCATTCGCGCGATCCATCGAGTCGTCGAGAGTGCGCGCGCGCGCGTTGCAAAGAAATTGCAGTCGTGCTAAAAGCGAGAGCGATAATAATTTATCTCGCATGAGCGGCGAGTGACTCGTTAACGTAGCAGATAAATGTCGAAAATATCGAGGAGTAGAAAAACCAACCGATGCCGAACCGTCCGCGTCGGCAGAAGGGGGGACGAGGGGACGGAACGAAAGGGGAAAATTAATAGAGCGCTCTCGTGCAGGTATCGTCGAAACAATGCGCGATAGAATCCCAGACTTGTCTCGCGGTGGATGAACGCGCT